TTCAACGGCTGCAGGGGCTCTTCTGCTGTACGGTTGTGAGTTCATAAGTGAATGACAGAGAGAGAAATTTTTAGGTTTTTTTTTCCTCTAAAGCAGCTCTAGGTCCTAGATGTTCGTTTTACAGAAGGTTTAGAAAGAAGGGTGTCGATCGGACTGAGAAATTATTGTGTGTTACTGAAATATTGTTAAATGGTATAATTAATTCAAGGTAATACAGAAAGGAGAATATAAAACAATTGTATCCAAATATAAAATCGTTGTATACATATTAATTTATTATATCACGTGACAATGTTTCAGTACCATGCGATAATTTTTTGTAGTTAAATGATGACATCCATATATAGGGCCATAGACAACTTAGACATACTTGGATTGGTTAATGTCTCCCTTCTCAATAATAATTGTGTGTTAGAAACTATGTTAAACAAATTTAAGAGCTTATAAAATATTAATCTAGAGCTTTATCCAGACACAATGGACCAACCAAACCAAGGAATTTGATGGGGCAGACAACTGTTTCTTTATTATCTAAGAACCCTAGCCCTTTATAAGAAATAAGAATAAAAAAACAATATGAAGGAAAGATGAGGAAGCAAGGGCAGTTTGCTTAATTAGTGCCTAGTGGAGACAAACAAACAATTAATAAAAGTAACAATCTCGTCTTTGGAGAGCAGCTGATCTGCATTCTTGCCCTTTTTCTCCCTTTTTTTTATTTTTAAATTATCTTTTACGATTTGTTACTAATCATATTTTATTTTATGATTAAACACACATAGTAAATATATAATTTTGTTAATATGGGATTAACAGGTCTTTTGGGACAGCCTTCAGCGGCCATGCACAAACCTTGTTCCCTTCACATTACTCCTTCTCAGGCATAGGCTCATGGTGATGAGCCACCCTAAAAATTCTGTAAGATATTAATAATGATAACAACAAATTAGTTAATTAATATATGTATTATATGTATAATAAAGTGAAGTGATTGCTTTCCCACCACCCATCAGACAAAAATCTACCCCATTCAATATATTAATTTCTTGTTGGCAACTTTAATTATATTTCTCACGTGACATACTATTTAACATAAAATTGAACCTAAAATTTTTCTTGACTCATTAAACATTTTGATATATGAAATATGAAATTTTGTAGATTCAAAAGACTCATTAATATCAACGTCATATGTACGCATGATAATAGTCAGATGTTTGATGATATTATTGTATTAGATTCTATTTGATTAGAACGACACGTGTGCCATTTGGTATCGGTTGGTGTAATAATGCAAGAGGTAAAAGATAAGGTTAAGGGGAGATTAAAGCAAAAAGAGTGAGAGAGGGGATGAGGGAGACAAAGATGGAACATGAAGGTTTTAAAGTTATAAAAAGTTCAAAAGTCGTAGGAGGTTCGATTGAGGTGTTTGATAAATTGCTTGAGTTCAAAGACTTTTGAATTAATCCAAGAGACCAAGACTACGTCTCTCAAAAGCCAAGACATGAACCCAACTTTATCAAACATGCAATCAACTAAATTCCGCACCCAACGCCTATAAACCCACCACTCTCTCTCTCTCTCTCTCTCTCTCTCTTGCAAAACTAATGCAGAAATACATGCACTACATGAGCATCTAATACACGTGCAGAAGAATATAGGATTTGTTATGTGAAACGAGTAACATATATAAATTAATTATTTTAAGATCAATACATGCTTCCACAAATCATTGTTTCAATTTTAGCCCTCACACACATGCATGACCAGTTATCATGTTTTTGTAATCATCCCATTAATTTGAGAGGTGCCGGCCGTGACCTAATTTTTCATACTCATGAGATTTTCTTTCATTATTGTGGATGAGAATTCAATTAACATAACTCATATAACCTAAGCAACAGTCTAGAAATCAGTCATTTGAGCACAAAAACTTTGATTAAGGTGTACAATCTCGAAACAAATAGAGTGCATGTAAGTGCCAATCACGTGTTACGCTAGCACTTGGAGGCTCCACAATTGCTATAGATGAAAGACTATGATAGTATCATACATGATTGACTTTAGCACAGCTCCTTCCAGATCTTTTATACATGTACATGTACATATATGCTCTAACAATGACCACATATGCATCATCATTATCAACGACCTAACATATTTCCAACAATCGTTCTTACCTGGTTTGAGCAAATCAGTCATGCGTTACAAAAAACAGTTCAATTATATATCTTGTTTTGTTCCAACAATCCAACAATGTGATCTTTTTATCAAAAGTCATAGGCTATTTATTGATGTGACCAAGGAAATCATTCACAAAGTCACAGTTTATCTAAATGTATTAAATTGTTTGCATCATATACATGTCACAGACGGGAAGTGCAAGTCTTGATCTCAAAAGCGAGTGGAGTTAGATTCACGCCCCAAAAACCCCCTTCCCCCTTCAAATTTGGGATGGTTCTGGCAAGTACGGGGCACCTAAATTTAATTTGTTTATTTATTTTGGGGTGGGTGGGGGACAGGTAGGCAAGCTTGGTCCTGAAGAAAGGTTTAGGGTCCAAAGGAAGAGTGAGTGAGGGGTAGAAGATTTGGGGTTGTAGCAAACAAGGAAGGGTATGAGAAAAAGGTTGTTCCCCCTATGTTGCTTCCGTCTGGCACACAGTGCTTCGCCATACATATCTTTATCGTACTTCAATGACATTGATCTTCATGTTAATCACTTTGTGTACATCTCAAGCATGCATACGTCTATAGTGTACACATATAATAAATATATAAATACATACATATTTTATATTAATATTACTTTGCTTTTGCATTTCTTCTTAACTGTTAATCACAATCTGATACATACATACAACCAATCACTAAAAAGATACCTAAAAAAATACATATCTAATTGTGATTCGACTTATTTATAAATATAGGAGTTAAGTGTTTCTATATGAAAAACGCTTTTAAATTCCATATACCATGGCAACTCACCGTATATTAACTAAAACCAAATTTTCTTTAAAAATATATATATATATATATATATATATATCAAGTTGAGATTCGTTAGTAATAAATGATTCTTTTTTATTTTTTACAAGAAAAATTAATATCTTTTTTATATATATAGAGCCAAGTATTTTCGAGCAGCTCACCATATATAGAGAGGTAGCTACTCTCTCACTTCCAATTTGTTCCAAGCTGGCCTTGGCCAAAGCTCCCAACATCTAATTACCACTGCCCCCATAGTCACCTACAAAATGTCATTTTCTTATCCATTTCTTTTCTTCTTTAAGCTCCCACAATTTATAAACCCAATAAAGGTCATGCATGGGCAACTGAGGCACCGAATAACCCCTCTCTTTTCTTTGCAACTTTATTCTCTCGTCCAATTCCAAGCTGTATTCTGTGTGTTTTATGTCATTGCTAATTATTCATTTAATCACCCCAATTCCTACTAATCTAGATATACATAGAGGTTAATCTCACTTCTTTTTCTAGTCCTCCTTTTCGTTCTCGGTCAAATATAGCAAGGTATTATTTGAGTTGAGTTACCCCACATACGCATGTCTCCTTCCCGTGGCTGATTTACTTACTGCATCGCTGAAGTGGGGGCACGAACACGATCCCTTTTCTAGCCTTTGCTTTGTGGTGTTTTCTTAATGCATATATTCTTTGTCAGGAGACCTTTTCCTGATTTATTCTACAAATCACAACTATATCATCGCTCCTATTCCTCCCAATTACGACAGGACGTTATATATTTTGAATTCTTCTAATTTAAAAGTTTAAAATTCAAACTTAAGTGTATAGTAGTGGAAACATTGGTCCTCTAACTGGCAGAGGTTGCATATGTAATCCTATTGCTTTTAACTTAGTTTACTTTGCCTTTGTTCATCTCAGATGGGGTGGCAGCCCATGTTTAAATTCTTGAAACTCCTCGATCAATGCGTACAAGTAAAATGGGAAATGTGAAAACAAATTGATGTTTAGTGCATTAAGAAAAAACATGAATCAGGTTTGGACCCAAAGAAAGAAAAAATGGATTTGCAGTTCTCAGCAGCCAGCTCACCTGGGGTCAGCCCAAGCAGAACTCATTTTAGGCTTTTAGCCCAATTCACAAAGAAAGCTCAATGTGTTTTTGGATAGGGTTGTAAATCCGCACGAAATAGTTCGAGTTTGCGGGTTTAGCTCGCCTTTCACTCGTTAAAGTTCAGTTCGTGAAAGAAATAAGAAATAATCTAAGCTTAATTTGGCTCTAAAAGAAAGAAGCCAAACTTGAACTTTCATATGCTCGGCTCGTAAAACTTATCAGCAGCTTGTGTCGGTGATTTACAGTTTGGCTTAACTCATCTACAACCCTACTCTTAGGATTACTTTCAATGTGGCCCGGTTAAGTAGTTGTTCTATATACATGTGATCAAAGAGAAAGGTTGTATATGTTTTTAATAATTATAGAATTAAGCAGCAATTTGGCAGGTGTAACTGTAAGCCTGGAAACAAGATCTTTTGTAAATTTGGGCTCTAAAGCTTTGATATGAGAAGACTTTGTCACAAACTTTACGGCAGTGGTGTAGTTTTGTCATGTAAATTGCTCTTTTAATATAGGTCGTTAATTTAAAGAGAATAGTAAGAAGAGTCAAATATGCTACTTTTTATGATATACGGCTTTTAAGGATATTGTCTATTAGTTTAAAATGTTGAGTTTTGAGGCTATTTTTAAAAGTTTTGTTATTTTTTGTATGTTGCTTTCAATTAGGGTTCTTAACCACGCTAAGGGTTGAGGTAGTTTGTAAAATAGTTTTATCTTTACTTTGATTTTGTTATTTATATTATTATTTAATATGACTTGAGGTTTTCCTCAGGGGATTACAAATTCTTTAAGGTTATCGTTTGATTTTCCTTAATTGACTATATGATGTCACAATGTGTTTTTTCTCGTCACACGCAAAAAAAAAAAAAAAAAAAAAAAAAAGACTATAACTAATGTAGATGTAAGCTACAAATCATTACAACTTTAAAAATGTAATATACAAATAAATATAACGTTCGATTATATTTCACACAAAAGACTCACCAAAACAACCATAAGTAAAAAAAATCAATAAAAACTATCTTTTTCCTGCCCAAAGAACTAAAAGAATAAAGAAAAAAAACTCATTGCAAATCCCACACAAAGCAAAACGCATGGTCTCTGCCCTCATGGGGAAACACCAAAAAAACCAACTACACAGTGAATAAAAATCCATAAAAAACTATCCTTCTCCTGCCCAAAAGAACTACTTGACACTGACTTGTTCATCTGCTTTGACTTCTGGTGCCGGGGAAAGCACTTTTGAGCTTGGAGATTTCCCAATTATCGCTTTCTTCACCTTCACAATGGACTGCTTCACCTTCGAAATGATCCCACCTGACTGCTTTTGTGCTTTTACTGAAACATCTTGCTTCGCGTCCTCTTTGGAGGCCTCAAGTCTCTCGGCAGCAGTCTCAGTTTTCGCTTCTTCGGTTTTCTCCAACTTACTTTCGGGTTCAACAATGGCAGAAGAAGGCGCAACAACAACGTCATTCTCTTTAATGTCCGTGTACTCTTCTTCTTTCTCCGATGCTACATCTTTCACGGCGACTAAATCTCTATCGGCAACTTGTGCAGCATTTTCATCAGTCTTCTCAACGTTCTCTTCAGTTTCTTGTTCTGTTTTCACAATCTTCTTCTCCTCATCCTTCTCTGCAGCATTTTCGCCTGCTTCTTTTTCGGTGTTCTCAGCAACTGGCTTTTTTACATCAGGAACTGCAGTATCTTTCTCAGCTTCTTTCTCATTTTTTTGTGCTTCCTCAATGGTTGAGGCAGAGCTAGAAGTGGCAGCGTTTTCTTCAGTCTTGAGTTCCTTCTCAACATTTCTCTCCATCTCTAATAAATCTTTTAGCTGTTCATGTTGCTTGCCCTCCACTACACTTACAGTGTCTGAATCTTTGACAAGAGGCGTTTCACAAGGCGCCTCCACCGACTGACTAGCAGCTTCTTCGGTTGAGGTAATAGCTTCAGAAGCTTCAACCCTTGGCTTCTCATCATCTATCTGTTTCTCAACTGCTTCGATGTCTGGTTTCTTCTCATCAGATGCTTCAATTGCTTCGGTCTTTTCGGGTTCTTTCCCAACTACCTCGATAGTTTGATCCTTCTCTGCTTCTTTCTCAACTTCTTCAGTCGCTACATTCTCCACTGGCTTTTGCTCATCTGCTTCTTCAGTTGCTTCCGTCTTTTTGTCTTCTTTCTCAACTGCTTCAATAGTTTCATCCTTCTCTGCTTCCTTCACAACTTCCTCAAATGATACATTCTCCACTGGCTTTTTCTCATCCACTTCTTCAGCTTCTTCTCTAGACAGCTTCTCATCCGCTTCTTTCTCAACTGCTTCTGCTTTTTCACCAGCTGACTTCTCATTTGCTACAACGGCTTCTGCCTTCTCTGCTTCTTTCTCAACTGCTTCACTTTCTATTTTCTTAACCGGATTATCTTCAACTGACTCAGCTGCTGGTTTCTCCACTGGTACATTTTCAACTGCTTCAACTGTTTCACTAGCTGATTCTTTTGTGGACGATTGCCCTGGCTCCTTATCAGAACTTTCAATCTCTTCCGAGACTACTTCGCCCAGAACATCATCAACCTTCTCAGCCTCAACAACGACAGGAGTCTCGGTCTGGTTCTTGTTATCCACTGGTGTTTCTTCAACCTTGGTTGTAGAGACCTCTGAACCAGAGTTCTCTGCTACAAGATCTTCCTTTGCATCCTTTTTCTCATCAGGTTTGGGTGGATGAGGACTGTCACTCTCCTTAACCTCATGTGTTTCTTCATGAACTTTTTCCACAATTGGCTGCCATAACTCAAAATGATCTCAGCTATTAATTTTAAATCATAATAACAGATTGGTAAAACAACATCAAGCATATCTAAGAAAAACTGTTTCTACAACCTTTGTTAATGATGAATTTCGTGTCAAAGATTTCACAGAGACAAATCACCGGTCCACTATAAATCACGCTAATATTATTTCTAACTTGTATATTACCACTACTAGCACATTAAGTGTAAAATTTTATTACAAAAGTTTTCAATATTATTAGTAGTGGAATCACACACTTACATATATATATATATATATATATATATATATTATTTAGGGCAGTGATTTGTGCACCCCTTTTTCCCCATGCCCCATAAACTTCTCTCTATTTTACTACCTGTCAGATTGAATAAATCAAAAGAGAATCAAGAGGCGAAGAAAGGGTGCTTAAGGAGAAAACAACGTGTGAAGATAGACCAGTGGATTTTACATCAGTTGAAGATGATGAGCAATTGAACTGCCAAAAATGATAAACCAAAGAATCTAAATTCCCTAGATATATAAACACATAATTATTACCCCTAAGCATCCAAATATCACTATACAATCATAGATGTTTATATGTTGTGGAAGGGTGTTGGTCTTCATACAGCTTTAAAGCAAAAGTTCAAGATGTTTTCACCGCTAATTAACAACTGAAACCACAGAGAATCGGAAACAAAACTGTGTAAACATAGAACTCGATTCTACAAGAATTTTCATTTGAGGGATCCAAAGGACTGGCTTGTGACTGAAGTGAAGTCGTGACAAGGTATCCGTATTGGGAGGTGACAACATCTAATTAAAGAAAGAGCTAGCAAATTAAGTTATGGAATTTAAGCAGGTTTACCTGATCATCAGCAGGCACAGGTACTGCAGCAGCCTCAGTAGACATGGCTATGGGAGGAGAATCAAGAAGAAAAAGAAGAAGGAGAAGTGCTTTTCCTTTGCAATGAGTGCTTTTGCTTTGGAATTTGAGTTTGAAGAAACAGAGAGGCAAAGGGAAATGACTGAAGAAAGGATTAAAAGCATGTATACTATATATTTAGAAAAGCACTTGACAGAGAGATGGCCATATGAGCTCGTCATGGCATGTATGATGTATGCAGGGAAATTAATATTGGTTATTACTAATAGTATGGGATTGTATTACCACATTAATCCCAAAAGACAACTCATTCCTCCCACCCTCAATGTACTAAAATTTTAAATTTTAAAATAAGCATATATAATCTTTCATAAAGGAGTAATATTTCAAATATTCAACATCCTTTCTTCTATGTATACATGGTGTCACGAACAAATCCCCTTTTTAGATTTGGTATTTCAGGTGTATCTATAAGAAAATGTTCGGCTCTTTATATATAAGGCGTTATTTCTCCTGATAGAAGAAAATCAGAATTTATGAGTTATTTTTACATATGCGACAATTGTAATTTACAAATAAAGAAAAATGACTTCTACACGCAATAAACCAAGAAAGTGTCTGTAATATTTAAAAGAACGATTCATACGTGCATACCAAATACCAATCTACAAACGTGCTACACCAAAATCATCAATCAATCAACCCACCCACAAGCCCCGCCCCACCCCCCTCCTCAAAGTACTATTTTTCAAATGTTTTTAATTAGTTGCCTTCAGAGAGAATGATCAACCTCAAGTGTTTCAGATTAAATAATATATATGATAAAGTGTTAATCAACAACCATCTTTTGAGTTGAAAGCAACCAAATATTCTTCTGCAACATAGAATGTGAAGTTGTTAATTGGCTTGCCACTTGCCAGCCTAGCTACGAACAGATAAACAAAACCGACTTACTATGAAGCTGGTTGTATTCAGGGATGGATGGATGGATGGATGCATGGATAAGACTCAATTTTTTGTATTCCAAATAAACGAGGAAAATGAGTGGATCAAGACTCAAGTTTTAGCGTTCTAAATAAATGTGAGGATTTGGGGAGTATTTACTCAATTACTAACTATGTGGTTCTCTTTCATTTCAAGACTGATCATGTAATGAGCGAGAAAGATATGATTGCAATCAGTTAATTCAATCTGATCACATTTAACATTATTGCAGTATGATTAATATATAAAATCAAGAAAATCTGAGTGTGCTTTCCCCCACGACTCAAATTGAATACGACATGAGAGAAGAAAACAAGCAAAACATTTGTGCACATATTATTGTTTGGGAGTGAGGACTGAGAGGAGAGGAGAGGAGAGGAGAGGATGGATATAAAAGCAAAGTCCAAAAGCTTGTGTGAGTGAGGAAGGGGATAGACAGAAAGCCGGGTAGGGCCAAGAAACCCCGCGTTGAACTGACCCAAGGGGCATGTGGAGAGACAGATCCCACTCCATGCACCTTTTGTTTTCTCAACAAATTTTAGAATGCATGGACCACCCACCCCCTTCCTGGCCTTTAATTGCTTCATATCTATCTTATATTATGACCACATTTTACAATTGCCCAAAAGAAATGCAAGTGATTAATCTTTTCTTAATTAATATTGACCAACCTGTACCTTAGGGTTTAGACTTGGAGAGTCGCTCTTGTGGGCGAGAAATTTTGCATTGTGATCAGAATACGGATGGTACACCATATGTTTTTATATAAATGATGGGAAATTTTATCTTTTAAGTTATTAATTTTTTAACACACATCTCACTTTTTGTATAGTGACACATGTCGTACCACCTCGTATTCTGGTCACACTGAAAAATCTCTCCTTGGGGGCTATACCGCAACAAGTTCATCCCCTTTGCAATTGGTAACTTGGAAAGGCTCTTGTCCAATTGTCCTGTCAATTGGCAAACATGTTTGGTCAATGTCACAAGAAAATCTGATGTCTTACCCGCGATATATCTTCTTGTGTTTGCAGCGCTCAATGCTCGACAAACTTTTATCTCCACTTGTATGACAAGTTCTCTCTAGTGTTATCCATGTTGGCGAGGAAGAATTAGATGCAACGACTTCAATACCCTCTCTCTCTCTCTCTCTCATATCTGGTCACGTGATAGGTAAGTTTTCTCCATTTTTGCTGAATTCCAAGTCTGGTAATCTGGCATGGCGTCGATATGCTCATGAATCATGTTGCCCTAGTTAGATCTCGATCTAGCTCTCAAAGTAAGCCCATAGTTGAAACACAAACTTCTCTGGCTGTCCATACATGGGGCCATTGCAAATTCATTTCAATTTTTCCAAATAGCCCAATAAGTCTTACGAGTACGGTCCAATTGATAATATTATTCGTTAAGGATCTCAGTATAAGATTGAGGCCCAGAATTAGATACATGAAAATGCTTATTAGGCCCATTTGAAATCGGATATGTTCTTCAGTAAGTGATTTTCACATTCTTAGTTTCTTCTCTTACATTCATATGTTCTCTTCAATCGTTTTTCTTATTATTTATATTCCATTCAAAGGCTAAAAAATGTAAAAAGAGAAAAAAGAAGTGCAGAGGAGAAAAATAGAGTGCAAAAATAGAGCAAAAGCCAAGAGTACAAAGGAAGCCCACAGAGAGGCAAGCAACAGGAAAATAAAGACATAAATAAGGTAATGAAGGAGGGTACATAGGTAAAAGACGTTGCAACAAAAGCTAAAACATCGCCCCCTTCACTACCGATTACAAGAAATTAGGAATGATAAGGTAACCCATCATTGTTTAGAACATGAACCAACGAAGATGGAGATCGGTTAACTCAAGTGGAATCGCTCATCTCCGTATTGCTTTTCGATGCCAACCGGTCCGCTGCCATGTTGGTCGATCTTGGAACCCAAGACCAACAACAAGCCTGAAAGGACTCCCCAAGCCGCATGATTTTGACCAATTTGGGAAAGGCCTCCCAGCTGCCAGTTATTGAGGCATCCAACAAGCAAGAAAGATTTTCCTTCGAGTCAGACCCAAACAATAATCATTTCCATACCCATCGAACTGGCAAGTTCGCAGCCGTATAAAATTGCCATTGCCTCTGCTGCGGCGCCTTGATCTTCAACTTTCTCGCCGCCACAAACAAGCCATCATCGTTTCTTGCTATAACCCCAGCATGCCCATTACCAGTGGCAGCAGCCCAACTTGCATCCACATTCAATTTCATGTGCTATAGTGTAGAAGTATGTAGGAAATGCAAGAACAAATGGACTGTAGTATGCAAGGCAGCAAGGGGTTGAACATGATGCGAGAATAGTATTTTGGGAGCTGGCTTTCCGGCCAAGCGCCGCTGAGGCCGAAACCCGGTCGATAGGGAGTACAGGCGGCTCAAGAGGTACCATCAATAATAAATATAGGGGTTCAGAATCCCTATATTATCAATCAATGGCTTCTATTACTATACATAGGAGTAGTTTTTATATATGCAGTTCATTGCATCAATACACAAGCTACGTTTGCTTAAAACTTGCATGCATGCACAAATATTTGTCTAGTCCATGTGCCAAATCGTTGTTACTTCCATAATTCAATCTTCCTCCCAAAACCCTCCCTCGGAAATTTCCGTTTATTGTTTATCAAGTTCTACCTCGCATTTGAAAGATTTTGCTGCAATATGTCCGGTTGTTTTTGGCCATCTTTGTTAGATTTGAACTCTCTTATTCGCTATTATGCGTAATTGGATTGCTAGAGACCGAGCTTACACCTACCAGTCAGATTGAAACTTGTTAAATTTTGAATGGAAATTAGCTGAATTGGAATTTTGTTTAGTTCGACATTGCCCAAAACCTCAATTTATCTCTAATTTGTCCAAATTTCTTGGTTCTTAAGTAAGTTTACAAGGCTCATTGAAATCATGTGTAGTGACATTATCAGGTTGCAGCTTGACATGATTTCATAACAAATATCCATTTCCAATTAATTAAAACTGATCAAAACTTGTGTATTCAAACTTACACACTGCTAAGGAACAGGGTGTCTGCTCAACAAGCCCGGGAGAGGAAGAAGATTTACGTCAACGATCTGGAATCAAGAGCCAAATAATTGGAGGATAGGAATTTAAAGTTGGAAGAGAAGATATCTACGGTTGTTAATGAAAACGCCATGGTTCGAAAGGTGAGGCTTCTGTTACTGTTGGTTGAGTAGTATTACATCCACATTGCGGTTTACAAATCGTATAACTCTTTCTAATGGTCGAATTTGAAATCTCTGTCTCAATTTCAGGTTCTTATGAACACAAGGCCAAAAGTAGGCGAAGGTATTGAACAGAAGCAAGGATCAGTTAAGTAAGAGCAGACAACCATAAAGGAGTTCTTTTAGGCAGTCATGGGTGAATATATTTAGAAATTCTTTAGAGATCAATTCCGATGAATGTGAATCACAGCCTTCGATTCTCCAGCTACATATGGCATTTGTGCATCACTTAGTTTGATATGAACACTCAACCAGCTAGTATGTAAGTTTTGATGAACTTCTGTCTTCTCCCTTTGTACCATGTATTTCTCATGAAAAATAATTTTTTGGATGAATTTCATTCGAGAAATTGATCGCATCTTTGTCAACTAGATGTTGTCAAAATATATAACTGAAATTTAATCAAAGATTATTCCGTTTATATGTTGGATTATAAAAAACGATACCTGGACATGCTGATCGCTCTTCGAGCTTCACAGCAATGACTCATTTCAAACGGTACATGTTACATTACATGCCCTTGGCTATATAAATTGGGGAGAGAAGACATAAATAGGGATGAAATACAGAAATTCACTTAAACACCAGATTATGGCAGGTCTTGTCACAAGGGTACGGACAATCAATAGCTCTGATACTATACCGATCGAAATACCAGTTTCCGACTGATTTTGCTATCCCCTGCAGATAATTGATGGCATATGAGATCAAGACAGACTCAAGTGTGACAAAATAATGTGAAAATGAAACGACTGCAAATCCATAGATATTTATTTCTTTATCCGAGTTTAAAGTGGAAAAGTGGACATACCTTATTTCCAATAAGGGGAGGATTTTGAGAAAACCAGGTGTCTTGTCTCTCGGTCTGGCAATGAGAAAAGCAAGAATTTATGAACAAACCATTTTTACCGGCCCTCGAGAATCCGCTTACAGCTTTGAGCATCTGATTCCGGAAACCTAATAATTTGTTGAAGAAAGAAAAGAGATGATTGAATTCAGTTCCGAAACACAAAGCATTGAGCATGTAACTAAATCATCATCTGGAACACAAAGCATAATCAAACTAATGAGGTCACCTTGCAAAAACTTAATTTGCCATGCAGCACAATTTGCATTATTGTTTGTGCATGCATGCCAATGGCCATTAGGGTCTGCTGTTCGTGGAGCTAAACTGGCCTGGATCTGATTGAAGGAGAATAACATTTAAATTAATCATTCACTCGTCAGCGTATCACGATTCTACTGCAAGGTATAAGGTCTCATTCACCATATGAATCAGAAAGGAACGCGAGGATGAGAAATTATATATGAACGCACCTGCCATGTATCATAAGCTGCATTGACCAGAAAAAGGGGAGTCTTGACAGTTGCAATTAAGTGCTGGGGGAAAAAGCACTGAAATTTGAACGACGAAGTTAATAATCAAGACAAAAAACAGAAGGGAAGCCTCATTCTAAAATTGGGTTGAGGCGATTACCAAAGTCGGGTTGAGGCGAATGGTACAACTCCGTGGGAGATTCTTTTGCACCCCCTGCAAAATAATTGTATCTACATGATCTTAAAATGTTCCCCACATCAAAGTTCAAACGAGCAGAACAAATTTTAGGAGTTCACAGATCAATGAAAAATTGCACGTCTTCGGTGTGTTAATCATAGAAGCTTCAATCCACATGCTTGTAGGCTAACCACATCAAAGTTTAAATTGTAATATACCTGTAGGCTAACCACTCTTCTAAACATACTTCTCAAAGTGCGCCTACCAGATACATCAATTCTGCAATTTCAGATAACATGGTTATTTATCTGACTAAGAACCAAAAGGTATCGGGCATGCCAAAATTTGTTGAAGAAAGGATACTTACGCGTCAAGAAACAATCCACCATCGCTGAGGCACTTGACTTTAGTAGTTGCGGGAAACATTCCACGAAATCCATCGCAGTGGAGTACAGTTGCAACACCACCAGCAGAACATCCAGAAAGAAGAGCCTAGAAATCCAACAGTAAAGTGTATAATGCTAATACAAGAGTAAAATTATATCATCTCCGAAAAATTAATAATAACCTGATTAGCGTAGCGCATTCCCTTTGACATCAAGTCTTCCATAGCAGCTTTCCAGATACGTTGCCCTCGAAAATGCAATTGGGCAGCCTGAGAACCAAATAAGCCATAATTTTTCGGTCATAACTCATAAGTGATGAAGCTAAAAGAATTTCCTCCAGAGTGTTAGCGGTATACAAATAATGAAAATGTAATTAAGCTAAACCAGAAAACAATACATGCATTAGTGGTAGAACAAGAAATTAGTTCATTTGTAAGATGGAAATGACCATACTAATTGAGGACATGATCAAGAAATCCTGCGTAAAATTCTTTGTCATCCATAATTAAATGTGGAAAATTCTTTTGAAAGAACAGTAGCAGTGTGACATGTTCAAGGAAAAATATAAGAGGAAGGCTTACAACCACATGGCCTTAAGCAGTGAGAAAAAACATGATTGAAAAGAGAATTTTCTGAACTAATCAAATTAACCGGGAGGCGAATACAAACTTGAGTGCAAGACGACATGCACACCACACTAACCAACTAGCCTAACTCACATCTGCAATTTTTTCTCTCTGTACATTACATCTATAAGAATGATGCTTTCTTCGAACTTTGGTCGCATAAAACTTGTTTAACAACAAAAATCTTAAGAACCTGTTACATCACAACCACTGTAATACAGCAACTTTATCAAATTTGAGTTAATACCTCTGGAGTTTGGAAATTAAGCAAACTGACCTCATTTTGACTGTCACCGCTGAAAGATGCACCATCACAATATCGAACCTTAACTCTGTTCCAGTTGTAAAAGTCTGCAATTGTTTGTTTTGCATCCAGAATGTCAGACTACCAGTTACTGCAGAAAGAAAATGTAGGACAAGTAGTGCTTTATGTGTATAGAAATAAAGGACGCAGCCAGATATATAACTTACCAGGGTTTTCTCCAGCCTTGTTGCTCAATATCCCGGAAAACGGTATCTGCTTCTCCATATATGCTGATGAACCACGACGAGTTTTCTTACGATAGACACAATTTCTGATTGTATCACACCATCCTCCTCCCTGTCAATAAAAGAAGTTTAACCAAAGAAGTTTAGCTCCTAACATGTTACAGGTAAGCCACTCAATAAAACAAGTTTAACCAAGGAAGGACTATTCGGCATCTGATAAGTTCCTTCCTAAGATCTATTTCCTATACCTCCTTTAGACACATATAAAAGGAAAATAAGTGCAAATCATCTTTGCCGAACGAGGAACTTTAGATGGTAATCTAATGTGATCAGTTACGAATGAAAAATCCATCTAGAAGTACCAACGGTTAGTATGACCGGTCATAATTTCCTTCAGTTATGACATACCTCCAACTGGATGAGCCAACTGTTTGCTCCTGACCCGTATCCGCGGTGGATGTGGTAAGCAGGTAATGTTCCATCTAAGCAGACTGCACAGGGAAATATTGAATATCTGATTAGTCCTTCTTTTTGCGCAAGCATATGCATTATTTGAAAACTAATCATATGACTCAAGGCATCACTTCCTTTCCTTGCATTTCCTGGAATTGGCCACATGAGCATTTAACTAAGAAACAGATGATTTTACTTTCAACTATCAATGAATCCATCGAATCGTTCGACAAAGAATCAAACTTTAATAAACAAACAGAATCATAAGGATTAAGGGGTATGCACACCAAGATAAACAGTTGAATCACTGAAAAAACACAGTAATATGTAAATTCTACTCTTTTTTCCTCTTTTTTTTTTTGGGTGAAAAAAGAGAACCTGCTCCTTTGGCAGCAGCTCCATTGATGAGAGTGAGACCCACCATCAAGGGTCTGGTGAAAACCCCATAACCATAAGCTGCATAGCCATACACATTACTCTCTGTATAATGCAGGTCTTGTTCCTGGGTGACATTCACTTCCCTAATAAAAGTTCCATCTGTTCTTCTGCAAAACAGTAACCCCATAAACCCCACAACCCACAAAAGCTTCATGTTGGCTGACCCCAGAAATCTCATTGCGCATACAAATGGTAGAAACTAGAGCTAAAACAGCGTTGAGAAAATAACAACAAAAAACCCAAATGATGATTGCAAAACTACAGTTCAAATCAGAGCTATTTTTTTATTTATTTATTTCACTCTAATTCAGCTGAAGAAGGAGAAGGTGGAGACAGAGAGACAGAAACACACAGAGAATGCGGCTGAAGAACAACTTGGGTAATATGAAGAGGAAAATCAATAAGATATGCAATGATTGATGATTGTGAGTGCCTAATTGGAGGGATGTTGGTGCTCGCTCCCGCCAATTTACATTACTTCATTCTTTCCACTGTTATTTCAACTCTTTCATGGATTATTGAAATTATGTAGGGCTCGTTTTGGAAGTTTTTTAAAATGATTGAAAATGTTTTTTGAAAAAATGTTTTTGGATTTCAAAAGCACTTGAAATGCTTTATGGAAGAAGCATCAGATATGTGTTTCTTCTTCTAGAAAGCACTTTAAGTGCTTTTATATGATTTAATTGCATTTTTACTAATGATTGGTTCTAATTACATTTTCACCAAAAAATGTTTTGAGTCTTGTTTTTTTTTAACAAACGATATTATCTACACCAAGGGCGAGGGGGTGGGCTTAGCCTTACAATAAACTAGCAATAATGTGATTCAAATTCCCCTTTGGTGATAATCGAACCTAAAACCTCTTACTTATAAGTGAAAAAAATATCAAGAAACCGTAATACTAAGTGGTAATGCTTTGAGTAATTTTAAGATCACTTTCAAACGAGCTTGTAATGTCAATATTACGTGAGAAAGTCGAAACCATAGTCAGTGAAGATTGATAGAATTAGAGCTTTTAGGGACATTCTAACTTGACCTAATTAACTTCTTTTTTAAGTAAATAATGTATGCCTCTAAATTTAGAGTGGGGTTTAGCGATATTTGAGGGCAACCCTAAACCCTTTATCCAGACTGACTTGTGAGAATGGCAGCCGACACTTTATTTGATCGCCAATCACACCTAGTCGAGAGCTGTACCACACTCTCACTATGCCTCACTCATTTGGTATCTTTGCATGGCCATGGTGTCCCCATGCTTATCAAATATTCAACTTTATCATGCTAGTAGTTCACATTTCAACTTCAGCACCCCATAGTGAGTTCTATCCTAAAAGCTTACCATGCTTTTGCATGTGCCACATTCGAGAAGAACTTTTCATAAGCTTGGAATGTCGTGGCATTATTTCATGTTAATCATGCATTAGTAAAGTAAAAACGCATGACAGTGCGTGATTGGTTTTGAAATACCGTCACAGTAGCATCACATGTGCAGATAAGTTTCATTTCCTTGCATCCACATCTATCATGACAACTTTTTTTTTGTAGTTTTTTTATACAAGTGATGTTAAAAGTGAGGAAAATCAAACGCATGATCGAAGTACAAAGTTAACTACTCATAATCACTTGAGTTACAACCTTTTTATAGCATATATCCTTTTTATAGCATATACGTTGGGGAAATTGGTCTTATAGTATTGGGCACTATATGAGGTTCATATACAGTTCACCAAATTGGAAATTCCCAAATTACATAGAATTTGATCACTTGCAAATAATACAAGATGTTGTGGTCCATGCATCCATACCATAACATTGCCATCTATAGGGCTTTTGGCTTTTGGCTTTTGGGAATTTTCATTTTTATTTCACGTAACATTTAGTACTCAAAACTCAAAATTTATCTATGCATGGAACTAGTACTAGTACTAGTACTTGGGGCATACACTTCGCTTCCTATTTTTTCACTTGGCCCCGTTTTGTTTTTCTTCCTTCTCTCCTGCCTTGGACACAATGCTTACACCACTTGCAGAGAAAGACTGAGGTCCTCCGGCTTTGAGCAACATTTCCTCGTCGACCGCAATGTCATTCTTATACTTGTACCATTTGGCACACCATACATAAATTCCAAAATTAACCACGCTGAGGATCGCAAGGAACCAATAGAAATAGTCCGCGTGGCTTTTGTTCATGTCGCGCCCTTCCAGCCACCCCATTTTGTTCTTAGTGAACTTGCTAGTGATGGTGTTTATAAGCTCAACAAAAACCGTGCTCAAGTAGTAGCCAATGGACAGGGAGAGCCACGAGAAGGAAGTGGAAAGAGAGCGCATGCCGACGGGAGCTTCCTTGTAGAAGAATTCCATCAGCCCCACAAGTGTAAACATGTCCGCTATTCCAAAGATCGCGTAATGGAAAGAGAGCCAGAAGAGACTGATTTTGTAGTTGTGGTGAACCATCTCGTGTTTTCGCTTCACTTCTACGAGTCCTGCTATGGCCATTGAGATAGCTGAGAGGACAAGCCCCACCCCGACTCTCTGGAGGTGGGTTATGCCATTGGGGTGACCCGTGATTTTGCGCAAGAGGGGAACAAAGGCAAATTCGTAGATGGGAATAAGGAGGGACATGAACAATAGAGGAATCACCGGGATTGAGGCAGATGGGACATCAAAATCGCCAATGCGCGTGTTCATGAGGGTGCCTTGTTGGATTGAAAGGGTTTGCAATTGGGCTAAGCATGTGTTCATGAGGATAGTGCTTAGAAGAATAGGCATCATCCTTGTCAAAACCTTCACTTCTTCCACCTGCGTAACTGTGCAAACTTTCCATTTTCCTGCTCCGCTCAGGCCTGCGGGAAGAACGGCTGCCTTGTCTAGTAATCTGCTCAAAGAAAAGTTGTACTTTTCAGTCATTGCCATATTTTGTTTAGTTTGCATGCTTGCTTGAACAGCAAGTAACTATCAACAGTGACTCGATCTAACATCTAATCAGTCACATACTGTCACATGATCCGTTATTGCCAGAAACACGGTACATGCCAATTGTATGCAAGAATTGAAAGCGAACAAGTGGAGATAACAAATTAAGGGTTTGAGGAACCTGCCTGAATTGACTGCTGTGGGGGATGAGCTCTGCTTTAGAAGCAGAATCGTGAGCACGTATTTCATACAATTCATCGGAACTCTGGGGTACCTCCACCTTCCAGTTCTTTACAGACACCACCAAAACCTGCACAACAGGGTCATCTCAAATTAATCAGTCCTCTGTTAATGGCATTACTAATCACTGTTTTTAGTTACCAGACACGAGAGGAAGGGAGAGAAAGACCTCTAGAACTCTAATCAAAGGGCTGTCTCCTGGAACTCGGACACGATAATATGGCCTTCCCAATGCAACAAAGATAAGACCAACCGCAGCGCAGGACAAGGAGATGATAAATCCGATATCCCATCCAACACTTAAGCTCACATACACCACAAATGTGACACCAACCACAGCTCCAACTGTTATGCTAAGCAAAAGCCAATTGAAGAAGCTGGCTATGAGCTTGTGCTCATTGGGATCTTTGGAGTCGAATTGATCAGCTCCTAAAGCCGGGATTGCTCCTCTGATTCCACCTCCTCCAAGTGCCACAAAGGAAATCGAAGCGTAAAACAGTAGGGCCTTTGTGCCATGCACACAGGTTGATTCCAGACAAGGTAGAGGTTGCAGTTTTGTGTAATGGGATTGAATAATGAGCAACATATATCCCTGGAAGTCAAAACACAGCATATATGTATTGATTAGTATAGTCCGGCAATGAAACAGACAGTCTGTTTGTACTAAAGAAAGGAAAGTCCTACATAAAGATTCCTATTGATTAACAGTAGTTCTTTTTGTGTTTCCGGTTAAGATGAATCGGATTAAGTATGCTGGAAGGATGGAAAGAAACAAGATTTACCAGCAACTCGATTACACCAAAGAGTAGAGTCGTGTTGAGGCGATTCATATAGGCATCAGAGATGAATCCTCCAACAATGGTGAGCAAGAATGTAGTGCCCAAGTAATTTGTTGTGGTGGTTGCAGAGCCAGAGAGGTCAAAATGTATGACGAACATGAAGTATAAAACCAGGCTTGCCATGTTTGCCACAAAGCCTATGTTATCGAGGAACATCATTGCTGCACACAAAACACACATACAACAAGAGCTCAAATTTCTGTCTCAAATTAACGTGATTTCGTAAAAATGACACCATTTTTTATATAAGTGGGTCCCACGTATAATGGTAGAGTCCGTTTCTATTAAAGTGTCATGCTGCACTTATCACTTACCAAAGATAAAATAGTTGGCCTTGAATCCACCTTGTTTCCTCGTCAAGGGCTCATAGGCCAAGTCCTTAGCACCAAGTTCATTGTCCAACCCCTACAAAGTATAACCAACTAATATGAGAAAATGACATACAAAATGTAGTAGCTCTAATGAACAACCATGCATGTTTAATTTGATTTTCTTTTGTTCTTTTGTGTAAAATGCTAAAGTTGAATGAGCAAGGCATGACACTTTAAATGCACAGTCCATTAAACAAATGCTTTTAGAAGGGTTAAAGAACTTTTTAGAGAAAAAGTCAAATGTTATTAGGTTCAAAAGCATTTTTTTGGGTAATTTGTTTCTGAAACATTTTCAGAAACACTTGAAATTTTTTATAAAACCAATTTAAAGACTTCCACCAAAAACGTTTATGAGCAGAGATGTTTTCGCCTCAGTAGTTACCATAGCCAAGGATGATAGAGAGTTCCTTTGTTAAAGAAAAGGGTGGTTAGAGACTTTTGGGAGAAGAGTAAGGAGAGAGGGACTCCTACAGGTGTTAGGGGTGAAGGAGGTTGCAAGTGCATATATATATATATATATATATATATACACACACACGCACACGCACACGCACACATATAATTATGATTAGGTGTGTTGTTAAGAGAGCATAAAATGTTACGCCATCATGTCCAATGCCAGTGCCAGTGGCATCCTAATTGTGGGAAGCATACAAAAACAGTGGGCATTCCAAGTTTCAACTCCCAGATCCCAAATGCCAACGCCTAGCAACGCCAGAAGCCGACGGACCGGCCGTGAGAGATCCAATCCAACACAAGTATTCTCAATCATTGTCGCTCTGACAGCCATCTATAATCTAAGTTATTTATGCCCATAATTTAATTTCCAAGCGAGCACTTATGTTCATAAGCGTTTTTGTTAAAAGTGCGTTAATGTAAACTGCATTTGAAAGTGCTTTTTGAAAAAATTCAAAAGCTTTGTCCAACAGCTAAAGGTGATTCTAAACTGCATTTGGACTTAAAAGTGCTTCTAGCTCATAGAAGCGCTTTTTGGAGAAGCACCTGCCAGGTTCAATCTTTATCAAGCTAATAAAAATTTAAACGTATTTATCATAAGAGCAATTCTTACAAAAATACTTATGAACATAAGAGCTTCCTAGAGAAGCAATCCAGCTGGCGGCACCGAAGGCGTTTTGGGTTACACAAAAGCGTTCTTTTTGTCATACTAGAGGCAGTTCCAACTGGAACCCGAGCCTTCGCTTAGTCTTATTCGGGGGTGTGAGATTCTGGCTGCTAAGTTACGGCCAGGAGGTGCATTAGATGCTTTTGGTGGCCTTTACAGTGGAAGACCATAGCTACCCTACAAAAACGTCAACATTTAACTCCCCTTGCACTCCACATGTCCGAGTTTACAAGCGGATCTTCCAATCTGTTCCCTCCAAACTTCTTACAAGCTCATTGCATTCACTTCCCAGCTAGACATCACCTTTGTATTTTTCCATCATTTTCAGTTAGATCACGAGCTATCGATAACTTATTGTACAATCCACATCGTAAGGAAAACGGGTTAGGCAGGTTCGACGACCATTGCTTGTGCACGCTCAAGTCCGGTCGTGTTTGAGCATGAACAGCAGCAGATACAGCTCAAATAGTATTCCTGTTTAAATAAACGAATACGACTATCCATTTGGTATCTCAAATGAATTGCTACAATAATCAATCAATAAACGTGGACAAAAAATTTCAGTTGATTACATGTATGGTTTCTATTTTTCGCTGAACGGGTCTTGTAGAGCATCATCATCTTCTACTTGACTGAAATAGTAATGTGACGCCACACAAACAAGTATGTCCGTGAGGATAAGACCAGCCACATCGAAAACAAACTTAGGAGCAAATAAACCCCATACCTGCAAGGTAAACATGTGGCTATGAGCATATCATGGGAAAAAATTATCATGAAAAGAAGAGAGATTCGTGTTAGAATGACGTTACCATTAGATGCCGCCTATGCATTGCAACGCATATTATAGTGGCTGTGACCAAAGTGGCCGTGATGACCCCATAAATCATATACACCTAAAACATGAACAATAATCGACTCACTCGTGATCTTACTTAAGGAGTCCCTTTTGTAAAGATAAAGCTTATTTCAGTGGCAAACATATGATCTATATGCAAGCCAATAAACTTACTAGAGATAGTCGCGTGAGCATGAATTTCTTCCCTTTCTCGGTCTGACCCATGCGTGCAACAAGAAACGGAAGTCCAAATATTGGAAGGATGAGAGAAAAACCAAATGTGTCCATTGTAAGGAGGATTGCTTGGGGACCTAGGACGAACTCATCGAACCTGAAAATAATACAGGGTTTTAATAATCTAATCCACAGGGCAATGGATATAACTCCCACACTATGACCATTGACCACTAACAAAGGCAAAAGTGGGAGATCATCACTACTGAATTCTTTAGCTTTCAAAAAATACTTATCGGATACCTGTGACTCACCCAATAAATGCAGCGCCGTATCGGAGGCCATCAAAAGCACACCTGAAGGAAAGTTTGTTTTGGGTTATGAAACATAAAGAGGGCAAAAAATGAAGAAAACAATTCAAATATAATATACAAAATTCAACTCTTTTTGTAGGGACCAAACCAAAAGGATTATAAAAACTAACACAAAATGTGCTGACAAGAGAATCAGAAAACATGAAACCCAAAGTAGGAAACAAGCAACAAACCAATGACCAGTGCAGAAAAACAGGCACACAGCAAAAAGGCTCCATTGAGTTACAGGGACGGGATCAAGCGACGTATTCCAACTGCCTCCATCTTTGGCATCCAGTTCTATGTTATCCAGCCTCATTATGCAATAACCTGGCAAAAGTCAAAACAGAATTATTACATGTACCAAAACTTTGAGAACAAGAGCACAAATCATTTTATAAAACCTAACATGGTTTATCTCCAATGCAACAACTTCTACGACTGACCATGTATTCAAAGCAGGGCTAAAAGGTGAATTTTATTGGCCAAAACAATATCATTCAGTAGAAAAATAAAGCACCAAAACTATAAATAACTAAAACACGCACCTCCAATAAGGAATGCTAAAGCAATCCAGGGCCCCTGCTTTCCCAACAGAAGAATGACTGTTGAGCTCCAGGCAGAAAACATGGCCACTGTTTTAATATATAAGACTTTGCTGCAATCTGAGGATTTCCCCCTATTGAAAAACTGATTAAATGCCAGTAAAAACAACTGTCCAAATCCAATGGCATATATCAGTCGAGGAAGGTTATTTCTTCCATTGCCTTTAAGCACCTCGTCCAGATTCAATATGTTACTTTCTGAAGCCCAATGCACTGCTATTAGTATATAACTTATATTAGTTCCTATGACAATATACTTCCAAATCCCCTCAGAAGAGCTTCCAGTAATAGCCTTGCGCAGCAAGATTGCCAATAGAATCAGGGCAACTACTGGTAAAACTCCAGCGAGAATATTCCAAACTGGAAACCCTGAAGTGATCCTGAGCATCCATGAAGGATATGCATTAATAATTTCAGAACTAGGAGCCTGCTTTGACATTCCAACTTCAATAGTAAATCTGCAAATGGTGATCAGAAGAAGGAAAACAAATGCCTGCACTTACATCAGTGAAAAATGATCATTACAGGTAACAACATTTGATCTTGTTCTATCAGAAATGAAATCACAAACTTGTAACAGTAGGTCCACAAAAAATGATTAATAAGAATTAGGGTCTTGGGTGGGGCGCAGTAAAAGAAACTGGAGGTAAACAACTACTTACTTCTAAAATCATCTTCTTCTTCATGATTGAATATCGCATCTTAATCAGTCCAGTCGTGGCCAAAAGAAAGCATGCAGCTTTTCCTTCTTCCACTGATCTCAAGATTGACAATAAAGAAAAAGAGAAAAAGTTACTTTGCCAACATGAGCATTAACCACGGATTATGTGCATCCATATATAACTGAGCAGTAATTATTACTTACAGATAAAACTATTCGAGAGGAAGCTGCATGCACGCATCACCACCATAAAACAAGAAAAAATTAAACCAAAGGATATCCCAGAATCTCCAGATGAAGTAAAAGAAAAACCATATTGCTCTTTCACTTTCTTAATTGCAATAAAATGCATAAGAAGTGACATCAACATAATGCCAAGTCCAGCACCCATCATCTTTAAATTAAACTCGGTCCATTTGGAGCGTGCAAGTTCAGCAACACTTGCCAGGAAATCAGAATACAAATCAATTTGCCTCTTAAGAGTGGGCAATAATTCATTCTGGCTTTCCTTTTCATGTGACAGCAATTTCTTTGTAGTATGTGACCATTTCTCTTCTGCTTTAGCATACATGTCTGCTATGTGTAACAAGTCTTCGTGGGAAAATCCAATAACTGATGAAGCTGAATAAATATCTATATATCTTTTTACCTGAACACGAAGAATCCAACAGTTATTTCAGATAAATGATACACGAGGGTTAAATTTTTCATCCAAGAATTGATGAAGTACATTGACATAATATAAACTGCTAGAGTAATACCTGCCAAGAATTGGTGCAGAGTACATTGGCATAATTCAGCATCCATTGTTCCAACTTTGAATGACTTTGGGAATTGCCCACACTATCTTCAAAATTCCATGTTCCAGCACCTAAAGCGTATAGCTGAGGATTAACTCGCCCAATACTGAAAATAAAACAAATATAAGTGATATAATTCCTTGAACAACAAAAAGCTAAAGTAATGACACCGTGGTATAGAGGTGAACAATCCATTGGACATTGATTATTGTGATTTCTACATAAAAGAATTCAGAAATGAAGGAAGCCAACATACGTTCAGGATATGGAAACTGGAACAAATATTAGACGCCATATATTAGAAATCACATTTTCAAGCAAGTTACGCTTTGTGAAGGATCACCAGACATTGTCAACTGGACAGAAAGAGGATAGATTTGCAGTGTGCAATGCTCTCACAAACTGAGTACCATGAAAACAATGCAAACCAAACCCATATAATCCAAATGCGGGATCATTAGACCTCTCACAAAGATATAAACAACAACCCAGTTTGTATGACATTTTGCATATTAACAGGGTCTCAATAGGTTAACTACAGTGACAGCTTCATCCAATAGATTGCCTTACAGTCTTTTATTTATTTTTTTATTTTTGGTCTGGAAATGAGCAACCTGGTAAAATGTTGTCCATATATAAGCAGTAAGCACTGGCTCAAATAAAGGAAACGAATGTTGACTTCATGGCCATTGAATGTTTCATTTCATTTTTAATCGAAAGTATTGGCTTGCCCATGGTATAATATAGTGTAGGAAAAAATAAGAAGCCGAGGTAGTCATGTAATGATCAATAAAATCAATAAGTAATGACAATCATAATGGCGAAACTTAAACTGACAGGATGCTTACACTACACCTTCCAAAAGGAAAGGGGATACCAAGAAGCGCTGATATTGTCACTGCAAAGTCAAGCTGCAGAGAGTGACTTGACTAAGGATGGGTGATTGGCAAGTAAGACAAAAGAACAAATATATTAACCCATTCTTACCTGCTGGAAGGAACTGGCACATATATTCCTCCCATCCTGAAGCCAAACAATAAATACTTTAATCAGAACAAAAAATTAATTTATGACTCATAAAAACCTAATTAAAAATGCCATTTGAACAAAGAGATTTTCTTCTTTAAAATTCTCTTAAGGCTAATAGGACTCATACCCTATGGAGAGTCTGAAAGACAAATTAGTTTTATGACCAATCTAAGCAAGTTTCATCAATCCCTTTAAGTAATAGGCAAAATTAGTTTTTGAAAATTTAAATTATTTAATTGTCCAACCATTTTGAATGTTTTTCTTTTTCATTTTCAACGAAATCAATCTTGAGCCTCCATAAAGTATAAGAGAAGAATAGCAAAGGGAGCAACTCATTCGTAGGTAGAAAATTTCTGTTGTACTTTGGGGGAGAGGCAGTACCAAGTCTAGTTCACAAGATGAAGTATCACACTCTAATGGTATGGGAGATGGAGGATTCTTAAAGCTCACAGCAAACATGGATGTCTCAACCTGCATTGTGTTTTATTATTAGCACGAGTAAAACAAAATAAAAAATAAATAAGCATTAAGAAAAACATGTTTTGATACGTACCTCTTCAGCACTTCCTCCACCATGATCTCCATTCACAGTCTGACCATGATCGCCCATCACAAGTAGAAGAGTATTCTCATGTATGCCCCCTGGCGCAGACTGCCTCTCCAGTGCTTCAACTACTTTCTAAAGCAAACTGATCAGTTTGTTGAGGAAATTAGGGAAGGATAGATAAAAAGGCTAGACCTATAGGCTATAGCACATTATTAGGTGAACAAGGCGTAGTAAGGGCACCAAGCAGCAAAATGTAAGTTCCTAAAAGGCTAAAACTATTCAATATTTTGAAAAAATGACCCAAAGGTTGGAACGAAAAGGAACCAAATTCAGAAAGTTGAGGGAGAATCATAATTTCAATAAAAATCCCCACGTGTTTGGGCTTCAAAATTATACTTTCATTGCTTATCATGGAAGAAAAGCGAAAAAAACACATAAAAGATATCATAAAAACTGGGTAATTTATCACAGGGAGCCAAGTAACAGCCAACTAGCAAGTAAACAAGAATTAGGAATCCATGGAAGCAAAGCGTCCAATGAAGAATACTTGCTAAGAGCAATTTTCATATGTGAGTTTGAGGACTTACCAGCAAGACATTGTTATATTGCTCCAACTTTTCTATCATTTGCACAGAATCAACCCCAAATATGTGCCCAGCATGATCCTGAGCAATGAGAAAATTTAAAATAAATAAATAAATTATACACAGCTTTCATTAGAAGAACATAATCTGCTTCTTGTATGAAGCCCTTAGAGCAGGTGTATACAATTGGAAACAAAATATCCAAATCTATTTATCACTGCAAAAAGTAAGCAAACAAACTGTACCACTCCAAGAAAGTGTGCGATAAGAACATCCCAATCTTCTTGGTACAAGAATGGAAGAAGGTGGTCAATGCATCCGTTGTCCACCTGGAACAGAAAGACAAATTACTTCTAGCCATGATCATATTCAACAATATGACTGAATTCAAGGAAGGTTAAAAAATTTGGAATTTTTTTGTAAGGCATACCGTATCAAGATCTCTAACATTAAAAGAGGGGTAAGGAAAAGATTTTTCAAAGTGATGAGGAAACAACTGCGTCCATGTATCATCACCCATCATCACAACTCGCTTTCCATTTTTAGCCAACTGCAAGTAGGTCCACGTTTCAGATTGACAACAATAAGAAGTTCTACAAATTGAAAACAAAAAAAAAAAATTACTATTCAACACAAGAAATTATGCCAAGTAAAATCATGGGAGGGGGAGAGAGCAACCTGATGTATCAAGTTATCTTCAACTATAGCCGGAGCACCAAAGCTGTTCCCAACATCAATAAAAGTCGGCAATCCACCAGTTGTCAAGCCCTAAAAAACATTGCAAGGGAAGCAATTGATAAAGTTAACATCCATCCTTGGCACGAGGCCTGCAAACAGGCTCTAATTCACCAAATTCGAAATATCAAAGCATGCATTGCTTTACCCTAGAAACGCAAACTAAAAGCATGGAACAGCAAATCATAATCCATGAAAGGATAAGCTTAAAGTGGTGCACGAGGCATTGTGCAAAGCAACCATCTTGAAGCTAACATTACAATTTAGAACAAGCAAGCGAAAAAGCTAACCTTCAAACGCTGCAAACTCGTCGTGGGCGGATCAGCTATGGCTTTGAAAATCCGAGCAGACGATGCATTTCTAGCTGCCAGGTCTTGTATAAGCTGTAATTTGTTCATCCATGGCTTCAATTCTGCAACATAACATTTATCAAGCACTCGACTTTACAATCGCAATCGCATTGCAGGCAATGACTAATGGAGTGAGAATTGAGAATGCTAACCCTGAAAGAAAGTACTCGGAGCTACAAAATCAAACCTGAGAAAAACAAAGAGATTAACAAAACTGAGATTGCCCACATGATTTTCTTCGATAAATTTGATAAATTTGAAACGGGGTTTACCTGAGAGCGTCGAAAACGATGATTACAAGCCGCCCAACAGCAGGCTTGCTCCAGCAACGCTGCTGATTCGGCTCAACGGTGTCATTCCGGTTCTGGGTTTCTGGAACGGAGTATGAGCAAGGCGATTGGGAAGCGTCGGAGCAGTTGCTGTAAAAGGGAAGCTCCGTCCGGGTGAGAAGAAAACCTCTGGTGAATAAGAGAATGGCGACGACGTGAAGCGCCATGATCGCCCAGTGAATCCATATTCCTTTACCCATCTTGCAAGAATTGCAGGAAGAAGAAAGGGTCGCTGGTTTCTGGGTTTCTTGTGAGATCTTGTATTTAAGGGCAGTGATTGCCGCGCGTTGATGGCGTTTGATTCAGCGGGCTTTCAATTTTCAACTCTCTGTTTTTCCTTTGACATGTTCTGATTTAGTTTCCAATAATTAAATGTTCTTACTGATATTCTTTTCTTTATTGATAGTGAAAACTGTCAAATTCGATTCTTAGCAAATGTGAATTTAAATAACAGTAATCATGTTGTTTTGAGTTGTAATAATTTTTTAACAAAAAAAAAATTCTGATTTTAATTAAATTATAAGGTTTCAAAACACAATAGTACTGCACACGGTTTGTAACTCAATAGAGTTATTGAGCGAATAACTCAATACAGAATCAAAGCCAAAGCATGTTCCCTTGACAAATTTGAAAACATTCTTCCGGCAAGGCTTTTCTTTTCTTGTCAATCCGTCAGTCAGTCAGCTGAAATCGCTCCATTTTATCGTCGGGATACAACTTCACCGTGTTAAAAATGAAGATTCTTCTTCCATGGATGCACACCCTATAACGGTGCCACGAGCTGACCCAATCATCGGTCTAGTTTCCCTCCATTTTAATGGCTTAGCCGATGGATTGCAAACCCTCACCAAACCCAACTTCACAATGTCAAACCTCCCGGCACCAGATTGTTCCCACTTGAGAGCCTTCCCTCCCAGTACATATAGTTCGTGCCTTAAGGCAGCAAAACCGTAGCCAAAAGCCTCCAGCGGCCGAGGGTGATCATGAAAAATCACCGACGGAACTGAGCCTACGGTGTACCACTCTCCCTTTTCAGTATCCCTTGTTTTAATCAAGCTCTCGCCCCAGTCTACAACAGTATATATTCGATTATCTCCGATCACCTGAGCTGCAAATTGCATTGCCCTAGAAAAAGGCCAGATGTCTTCCACAGTGCGCCATGTTCCATCGGATGGAGTAAAAACCTCGGAGGTATTTTGGTCTGGCAGGCCTACTTGATCACTGAGAACATGAAATCTGCCTTTGCATGACAAGCCTAAGCAGTCCATCTGAGGATTGAGCATGGGTGGCAACTCCTCCCATCTGAAAATTTCAACAGTTATAACTCGATTTAAGAATTACCAGATTAGGAAAGAAAACAGAAGAAAGAAATACAACTGAAATCAGTTGGCTATAATATTATCACAAACACGCATCCACGCATACATGTTAGGTCATATCTGCTATTAATACCGTCGGGCCTCACTTTTAACGAGGGGGGGATCAAGATAAATATAAGAAAAGTCAGTAATTTACCAAACTTCAAGGAAGACTGAAGTAGTTTGCTCAAAAAGAAACGGCGAAATGTAATATAGCAAGAAATGAAAAATGAAAAACTTTTCCATATGTAAAAATGACAGAAGCAGTGATAGTAACATCAGATCTCAGACATTAGTGCCAAATATAGGAACATACTTATTAGCCACAGGATCATAAACCTCGGCAAGAGCAAGCCCTCGGGTGCAAGATACGTTGCGGCCCCCAACAACGTAAATTTTACCAGAAACAACACTACATGCAAAATGAGTACGCGGTGTAAGCATGCTTGCCACACTGGTCCATTGTTTCTTAAACGGATCAAACTGCATCACCTCATTTGTTACCAAAGACTTTTGGTGGGGAACCGGTGGATCATTCTGCGCATAGGACCCTCCAATAACGAAAAATCGGTTGCAGACAGCAATACCTGAAAATCCAAAGTGTTTCCAGTCACCATGAGCGGTGGGAATCTTTGGCAAAGGATGCCACCTATCAGCTTCAGGATCATAAGCAACCCACTCATTGTAAGATCCTTCTGTAAGAACAAACAGCCAGTCACCGCACCATCCTTTTCTAGCTTTATAGTTGGCATAGTCCGAGCTGCGTAATAAATCTCTCCACGTCTTTGAGACAGTTTCAAGCAATCCATGGTACCCATGAGACAACTTTGCCAAGCATCTCAACGCCAAATCATCAGACAATCCAGGAATAATACATCGGTGCAAAGACTCCCTATATTCCAAAAGATAAACCAACCAAATCCTTGAGACCGAATACTGGAAAACCGAATAAATGGAAAAACTACATGCATATGGAACTATAGACAAGATAAAGGCCAGTTCTTTGAAAGAGCAACAATTGTATTTACCAAATATAAACTAAAAACTAAAACCAACAACAGAAAAAATGATTTTATGTAGTAACAATCATATAAGAGTTCATTCATCAGCTCAGATTCGGAATTTCGAAGTGACCCATTACACCATTTCTAAAAATCTTAAGCATGGCATTGTTACTGAGAAAAATTGATATGTTAGTTGAGAACTGAGAGAAACAATTTCTTACATATTTTCAGTATATCCAGAAAAAAAAATGGCTCCTTTTGGTTATCAACCTGAAATGGGCATCGGCAACTCCGCTACAGAAATCAAATACCAATTTGAAAATCAAACCCTTCTGATGAATATCCTGCAATTTTGAATTGGGGTTCAGATAACTAAGCAGAAATACAAAATTCATTCATTAAAATTGAGAAATATGTAAAAAATAAAATAAAAAAATTCAATGGGGGAGAAGACTTACAGAAATAGCAGGTAAATGGATTGTTGGCCTTCTGGATTCTGGGCAGAAAATCAAATCCAAGCTAGCTTCTTTGCAGTTTCAGCGGCTCCAATCCTCTGTGGCCCTCACACTTACTTTCAGAAATGCTTGATTCAGAAAAAAAAAAGAAGAAGATGGAGTTGGGGATAAATTGGTTTTTTCCTTTTACTTTTCGTGACGACCTAAATATTCTTTTGTTGATGTAAACATAATGAATAACATAATCATGTACTCCCCTCGCTATCCCTACCAAGGTATTAACTTGGCTAATCAATATATAAGGAGTTCTTCTTAGATGTTTGTGGAATTGTAATCAAATAATCAGAATCACTCATATTATAAACTATTTAATTATCGATTTGTATAAAAATATATGATCGGATGTAATAAAAGTATTATAAAATATTTATTTATTTGTTACAGTTGATTGACTAAACAATCTTATTTTTAATTAAATTTTTTGTAAAAATAATCTCGACAAAGTGATTGATAATATGAACGATACTGATAATAAAGATAAAATACCGTAAATTGATATCATGATATTTTGAGGAATAAGCCCTCCTCGACGTATTAATAAGAAAGCTGATGATCGAACTGAAAGTCGGTGAGATAGATCAGATGAAGATCATCCTAAGACACTACTAAAAGAAATTCATTCTTTTATCATTTAGTCTAGGTAATATCGTGTGTTTAAAAAAAATTAATAATGGAGGTAAAATTTTAGGAAAACTAATGAAAAATATTTGAAAGTTTTGAGTTTTAATGATAAGGATAAAATAAAAGATAAAATGAATAGTACTAGAATTAACATTTTAGTGTAAAAATATGATTTTTCGTTAAAATGAACAGTATTGTGAGCTTGGGTCACGAGTTAATGGGCTATCTTATGGTTCGGCCCATTTCTTAACATAACCCACGAAACTTACGGAAGCCTCTCATGCACGCGCAGGTCACGTGATCAGAGTCCTACAAAATAAATCACAGAACTGAAAAAAATTGTAACCGCCAAGCGGAAGCGTCTTGGACTCTCTGGAAGGTGCTTTTCGTGCGAACCAAGAAGCCAAATCGATTCGAGAGAGGAGGCCGTTGCGCTCGAAGATCAACCAATCCAACGCAGCTCGAAGCTCAAGAATGGTGATTGGAAATCGAAGGCCGCGATCGAACGGAATGCTGCCGCTGCTGGCACTTCACGCCGTCAGCGAGTATTACAGGCTCGACCGGAAACCGCGCGTCACCGCCGGACTCATCGCCGCCAACGCTCTCGTCTACTTGCGTCCAGCTTTTCTCGACCATATTCTTCCATCTATTCAAGAAGTCGGGTTCAATCCTCATGTCATCCTCAAGGTAATTTCTCATTTCTTACTCAAAACCCCCCAAATTGTTGTAAATTTTTAATTTTGGCCCTTTTAATAATTCCATATATGCAATAAAATTTGAATTGTAATATTTTGGTAGATTGTTCTACTAATATTATATGAACAATGTGAATAATAACCCATTTTTGTTACTCTTTCCAGTTTATTTTTCACATTTCTAAATTATGAAAAACCCCAAATTGTTTGTAATGTGCTAATTTCGGTCCTGTCCATGTATATGATGGAACTTGAAATATTATTTTCTGTTAGAATTTCTAGAAAGCCACAACCTTTTTGTTGTTTTGATTTCATATGTCAGTTGGGTTTAATGGGTTCATTGTATATTAATTTGGGTAAGTTGTTTCTTTTTTTTCTGCAAATTTTATAGTTTTGATTTTATATGTGAATTGGGTCCGTTATACATTGATGTGGGCAAACTGTTTTTGCAATTGGTTTGAACAGTATGGGGACTTGAAGCGGTTCTTCTTGTCGCCGTTCTACCACGCTGGAGAGTCTCACTTGGTTTACAACATGCTCTCCCTGTTATGGAAGGGGATTCAGTTAGAATCTTCAATGGATAGTGCTGAATTTGCATCCATGGTTGCTGTCCTGCTGGGTATGTCCCAAGGAATGTCTCTGCTGATTTCCAAGTCCCTACTCATGTTCTTCGACTACGACCATTCTTACTACTATGAATACTCTATTGGGTTTTCTGGGGTTCTCTTTGCCATGAAGGTTGTGCTCAATTCACAGACTGAGAACAGTTATGTGTATGGAATTCCAATACCGTCTCATTATGCTGCCTGGGCAGAATTAGCTCTTGCCCAAATGCTGGTACCTGGTGTCTCTTTCATTGGCCATTTGGGTGGAATACTTGCCGGTCTTGTCTATATCCGGCTGAGGGGTTCATATAATGGTTCTGACCCGCTTACTGCTATCTTCAGAGGTGTTTTTGGTGTGCTGAAATGGCCTGTGAGGTTTTTACAGCGCATGTTTCCGCGGAGGCAAATATCCGGGAGAGGACGTGTTGGTGGGGGTCAGAGAGGAATGTCTGTAACTGGTTTCTGGAGGTGCCATGCTTGTACGTATGAGAATTCTGCTTGGCTAGATGTATGTGAAATGTGTTCGACAAATAGGAGAGGGGATGGCTATGGCAATGGCAGTGGCAGTGGCATTTCACCTCGATCACCACATTATTCCGGTGACCTTACTTTGGAAGAGTTACGACGGCGGAGGTTGGAAAGATTTGGTAGATGGTAGGGTCCTAACTCATGAGGCTTGTTACAGATGCCAGGTGGTGTTGGCAATGCAGGACATGTAAATTTAAATACCCCTTCTTCCCCTCTTCCCCTCTTCCCATTTCATTTGAATGTTTCTATCTGTCATCATTGCTCGCACCTGATCTTATGCTGTTCTGTCGATCCATTTGATTAAAACTTTGAATGTGTTGTCTTGAGCAATCTGATATTTGAGAATTCTATGGTCGTAGGATGGCATGCTTTTATGTTTTGTGTATGAACGTATATACTTCCAAAATGCTATAAGTAGGAAGAGTTGATGAAGGTTACTTGATTTCTATAGAGGAAGAAAGAGTTGATGAAGGCCACAGGAGGATTTATCTGATCATATATATCATCAAACATTTGTTAACGGTTGAGATTGATTTGATGAGAAAGTTTATACGCTAAAGGGAAGTAAGAGAGCATGGGTGGTCAAGAGAGTTTCGTCGATCAAATTATGGAGAGAACGAAACTATTTGCGGAGAGCAAATGGGTGCCAGGAGCCTTGTCTACAATAATTCAGAGAGGGAATCGACTAAAATAATAATTCAGAGAAGGAATCGGCTAAAATAAAATTTTAGAGAGCAAATTGACCATTTGAAGAATAATTGGTTTCAAAGAATAAAATTAAGCTTGATCCCCCTGTAACACTTCTACAGAAGGCCGAAAAATTGAGTGTGACATTAATAATATAGGAATTAAATTTATACAATAGGTCGGAAAATTTAACTGCTAGGAAAGTGGTTTTTAATTTGAGTTCAATATATTAGATTTATGAGTACGATACCTTAAAAATAAACGACAACAGATTACCAATATGGAACTCACGATGCTTGACTCTTGTACCACAATCATTTAAACGATTGTGAAAGGCCTTTACAGTAACACCAAGAAAAAGAAGAAGAAATAAGGCCCAAAATAAGGTTAGTGTGGGCCGGACACAGTAATGTAGTGGCAGTGCCTTGTGTTAAAAACCGCGTGGCTTCTAACACTAGCCAGTAGAGACGATGCTCAATTGCTGATAAGGGGAGCAGGAGCAGAGCAGCAGCAATGAGATAACCGTTGTTAATTGTCACCTCCACCATCCAACTCCAATTCCAACGACTTGCACTTTCACTTTGTATCACAATTTCACACTCAGATAGTAGAAATGCTGGCCAAAGTTCCTGCTCCGGCGGCAGTCAACCACCACCACCACCTCCTGCGGCCAAAACGCCTTGAACCGGAATCATGGATGGCGGGAACCCACAGCTGCAAGTGTCTCTATCTTCATCAGACGAGAAAATGGGGGATTAGTTGCAGTTTCAGTCAGAGACCCACCGATAACCCTGCAGCTGCAGCAGAAGCTTCTTATGACCTCATGGACGATTTCATCGTCCTCGGACAAGACAACAATGCCCCTCCCACTCCCACCACCAGAAACACTACCACCCATCCAGGTCCTCTCTCTCTCTCTCTCTCAATTTCAATTTGGGTTTTGCTGCAAATCTCACATACTTGGTTGGTTTTTCCGAAATTATGAAACTTGAGTCTGATTAGACCTGTAGCTATAGCATACATAATTTTCCTGCTTCAAACTGCACATATGTTTATCCAGTTTGGGTGGGAATTGAGCATGTGCCACCATTTACAGGTAATGACCGTCAACCGGCACCTACTCCTAGGAGAGTTGCTCAAAGTTTCGGGAGATTGAAAGTACATAGAGTGAAATCTATAGCTGAGAAACCTTCTCGGATTAAGCAAGAAATAGATGAAAGCGATGATGAAGTAAATGTGCAAGATGCACAACCATTTGGCAATCCGCGTTCAAGACTTGGATTTGATGGGAAAAAGAACAAGGCAGATGCCCGCGGTCTTGGTGGAAGACGTTCAAGTGATTCCCACTCGAAAGAGTTTAGGGACATGAGGCGGAGGAAGGGGACAGCAAACAACATGGACCATTCTCCTGTGAAAAGGACGGAAAATGGTTTTGAGCCAATCTCTGACAATCAAAACAAGCACCATAAGCCTTATAGGTCTGACGCCAACATAGCCGGACAAAAGGATTCAGCTCCAAGGGGTTCTTCTGCTCACTCAAAAGGATGGGGCAATGGAGGAGGGTCCATGTATGACTTGGCTGAGTTGCCCGACCTAAATCAGCGAAGGAAATTTTCCACCGACAATGACTTTTTCAGTCGAAAATCCTTCAGGGATGTGGGTTGCAGTGAATATATGATTGAATGTCTGAAGAGGCAGCTTTTCCAGCGCCCATCACATATTCAGGTACATCAACATTGTTCCTATATTTAGTTTACATTATGTGAATAGTTTATTTGGTTGTTTGTTTGAAATGTATCCACTTGAATAAATGTCCCATATATAATATCCTCTGAAGTATTATATATAATTTTCCACCTTATGGATTTCATTCCAAGCTGTTAGAATCATCTTTAATTTGTTGCAGCTTTCATATGTCGCTGTTTGATTCTATTTCATCACCACTTCCTTCCTATCTTGTTTAGTTATGTTTGTGTAGTTAGATTGTTGTCGTCTTATTTGGAAGGGCCGTCTCTTTTCTATTTCTAATACTGAGATTGCTTCACTTGGAAAAGTTAGCAAGTTCCACCGTCCTATTGGTAACTAAAAAAGTTCATGCTTAGTCAACCTAGACAAGGATGTACCTTGAAAACGTTTCGTATTGGTAAATTATATTTGATGAAGACCTAGTTACATTTTTTCAAGTACAGTTTCTTGTGTTACACATCTTGTATAACTGCAGGCCATGGCATTTGGTCCTGTTGTTGAGGGGAAAACGTCTATTATAGCAGACCAAAGTGGATCTGGCAAGACGTTAGCTTACCTTGCTCCAGTAATTCAGCGTATAAGGGAAGAAGAACTTCAAGGGCTGAGCAAGTCCTCGTCAATGAGTCCTCGAGTTGTTATACTGGTACCAACTGCTGAGTTAGCTTCTCAGGTCAGTTGCTGTTGGTTTTAATATTTGTTGTCCATCTTGATCTTTGCTCATGCTGGTTGAACAACAGTTTTCTGAGCATATTAGTTTATTGCCAGCTCTTAGTTGTTTGGCCTGGTTCTCTGAGGTTTGCCTACATGTATATGCATGTGTTTGTAGATGAGAAATTTGTAACTTAAAATAACTGCCAGCAGAACAGTACAGCACAAGCTCAACCAGAATTGTTTTTTTTTAAAAGAGAACGGAGGAAAAATCTACAAGTTCAAAAAAATCTACTTGTATATTTTACTGTATATCTCTGGTTTTCTTGATTTACCTTCACTCATTCTTTTGGAGCTCCAAAAGATTATACATTTAAAAGAATCTAATGAATATTTGTTCTTATTTCATCCCACTTTATGGTATATCATCTTGTGACAATGCAAGTGTACTCTTGCAGGTTTTGGGTGTTTGCCGTTCAATGTCAAAATTTGGGGTTCCAGTTAGGTCTATGGTTGTAACTGGTGGTCATCGGCAGAAAACTCAGATGGAAAGTTTAGAACAAGGTGTGGATATCTTAATAGCAACACCTGGTCGGTTTATGTATCTGATTAAAGAGGGCTTCGTGCACTTATCAAATCTAAGATGGTAACCCAGTTTTTCTTTGACTTTTCTGTATAAGTATATCTCTGGGTTGATAAATTAAAGCTCCTTTGTAATTTGAATTTCATTGGTGCATATTTTGTGTACTGCTAATGTACTGCTTTTATTTCTTGCGAGTGTATCAAGCAGCAATGTATCTTGTTTGTCATTCTTGCTTATTCATAAGACATGAATAAGTAACTAAGGATTTTCTTGGATGGGCTCTTGTAGTCTGTGTTGTCAAAGAGTCATAAAATTTATTTAACTAGTCTGGGAGTCTATGAACCTTGATTTCAATTGTCTGTATTTATTACCTAGCTTGATTGCTTTGTTGTGTATATTTCCGCCCAATAATAAAGATCGTCTTAAATTGTTGTACCTTGATATGATTCCTTCACTTTGATGAGTAAATTCACTCAGTCATCCAGAATTAATCTAGGTGAAGTTTAAATAATAGATTAGGAGTTCTTGGTGATGTTGATGTTGTTGACTACTCAATCTCTATATATATTTTGTTTTGTATTTCGTGCTTTTGTTTGTTGGAACATCAATGTATGACAATATATGTTACTGGTGTTAATATATTAGAACCTCTTTGCTGCAGCGCTGTACTGGATGAGGTAGATATACTCTTTAATGATGAGGATTTTGAAGCAGCACTGGAAAGTTTAATCAATTCTGCACCTGTTACCATGCAATATCTTTTTGTGACTGCAACGTTACCCCTTGGAATTTACAACAAATTGGTTGAATCCTTTCCTGATTGTAAAGTAGTCATGGCACCTGGAATGCACCGTATAAGCTCTGGCCTTGAAGAGGTTAGTATAGTTATCCTGTTGTGCATACAATGGTTCTAGAATGTAGTCCTGGTAATGAGGTGAGTATGAAGGCTCTTATTTTATGGTTTACGCAGTTTCATAACATGTCAAGAACAAATTATCACCTTCAATTGTTGGAGAAAAAGGGTGTTCTTATTGTTGCTGCATTAATAGTTTTACTTTTGTTCAAATTTTTTCCTAGCTTCCCATCAAATTTCATCTTATTAGAACTGAAAAGCTTTACGTTACTCCATAATGACGGGATTTTGATAATCATGGTTCATGTCCAGGTGCTTGTAGATTGCAGTGGAGATGATGGAAGTGAAAGATCTCCAGAGAAGGCATTCTCAAATAAGAAATCTGCTCTTCTACAGCTTGTGGAGGGAAGTCCAGTTCCCAAATCGATAATTTTCTGCAACAAGGTAACACGAAACCTTTTCCCTTTTGCGTGGCTTACCGTGTACCTGGGATTGTGTGCATTTACAAGCCTTTCTGATTCTATGTATTTGGAACTAAATTTCTTCTCAAGTCACTTAAGAAAGTATTACTCAGGTTAGCTTTTCCTTGCCTATTTGCAGATTGAGACGTGCAGAAAAGTTGAGAATATATTAACACGTTTTGACAGAAGTGGAACTCGCGTTCGGGTTCTACCATTCCACTCTGCCTTGGCCCAAGGATCAAGACTCGCAAATATGGAGGAGTTCACCAATTCTCATTCAAAGGAAGTCTCACAGTTTTTGGTTTGCACTGATAGGTAGCAATTTCCGTTGCCTCTGTATCATTTCCTGTACTGAACTTTGCATAATAAGTATAGACTGGGTCATTACTGGTTGCATAAAAACGAGTCATATAGCATACAACAAGTTGACGTTTATGAAATATTTGGCAGAGCATCGCGTGGAATCGACTTTACTGGTGTGGATCATGTTATACTCTTTGACTTCCCCCGCGATCCAAGTGAGTATGTACGACGTGTTGGAAGAACTGCCCGAGGTGCTGGAGGAATCGGTAAGGCGTTCATCTTTGTGGTGGGGAAACAAGTCTCCCTTGCGGGAAAGATAATGGAAAGAAACCGGAAAGGTCACCCGGTGCACGATGTACCAGCTGCATATGAGCTTTTGTACTAAAAGGCTTTTTTGCCTGCTTGTAAAAGAAACATGACCACCAATTTTCTTGACATACGCTTGGCTTTCAGAAAACAAGTGCAATATGCTTTTCATACAAGCAATTCATTTTTTTTTTAATTAAATTAACCAACAAGTTAATATCATTTTAACCGTGTAAACATTGGTTGTGCAGTTACACAACTCCGGTAGTATAACGTGTTAACGTCTGAAATTATCATTTCGTTTTGAATGAAAAATTCCAAAATAAAGAATAAAAATTTGAAGTGGCACTTTCACATAAAGTTTTGACTTGTTTATTAACACCTCACAGTTTCTACCTACACTCCACACTTTTCACATCTTAGGTGCAAATACATATGTTGTGTTTTTATTTTAACGCCCCACACTCATCACTTATTCGAATTATGAGGTGGTTTTTATGTTGTTTCTCCTCCCCTTCAAAGAATGAAGATTTAGATTTGAGAATTCCATCAAAAAAAAAAAAAAAAAAAATTAGAATCCATCACTTTGTAGCAAAGAGTGATCTAGCAATGCATAGCATAATTGATTATGCATTAACTTCATAACGCAAGTATAGGCATGTCGATGTCGTCGAGATCACTAAAACATTGAAAAATATAAAATCTTACCTCATGTAAACTTCCAAAACATCGATTTAATGCTCTATTCCTCAAAAATAAATTTTTTCAATCAAGGTAATGAAAAAATAAAACAAAACCCATGGGCTTTGGGGAAAAAAAAGGGTTAAAAAGAAGGAATAACAAAGTGGATAAATGGTGAGTAGTGTTCCGGGTGGGGGATGGATAAGGTGCCAAATTGCAGAATTGGGTTTTAGAAATACTCAGGGAGAGAGACGAAGATAGATAGAGAGAGAAAGAGAGATACAGTACAATGTCAGCTTCGCTTTCGTTCCTAGCGTCTTCTCAGCAGCTATGGCTGCGTCCTCAGCTCGTGGGAGTGGCGGCGACTCCGTCTCCAAGGCCTCAGTCTCGGTCTCTTGTCGTGGAAGCCAAAGCCACCACCAAAAGAGAAGACAGGACCGCCCGCCATACCCGTATCAGAAAGAAGGTACCTTTCCCAACTTCTTCTTCTCTCCAATTTCCGCAATTTGATTTCTTCACTTCCAACCCACATAATTCAAGATAAAATTTTACGGCACAAATTGTTGTCTGTTCGGATTGTATCTTCTTAACTGTCCCTTATCGTCTTCCCTCCCAAGTTCCCAACCCAGAAACTCTTGCTTGTCAGTTTCTGAGTAGTGGGTGTCCAGAACAGGAAAGTGGGTGCCTTCAATTTCATATGCCAGAAACTCCTCGTGAATTGACGTCACATGAATTGGGTTAGCTTGTTCTAGTTTCCAAATACAGAGTTTCCGGTTGAATGTAGCAGATTAAACATAGATTAGCTTAACTGATAGGATCTTGGTTCGAAAAACTCGAATGCTTGTAGCAAAGACAAGGTTCCCATGAGTGGTGCCTCCCAATATTCTCCACAGGCTTTGCTACTACGTTCATTCGGAAAGTTTAATGTTTGCCTTTTTGTTGACAGTTCTTACCTAAAGTTAAATTTTGAAGCTTTGATTGTCTTCTTATTAGTATCATTGATGCACTCTCGAATCCTCGACTTTACCCTTGCAAATGAACTTATGTGGAATATTTTCCCTTGATTCTGTTAGTTTCTTCTCTAATGGATCATTTTGCGAAAATTTGGTTGATTTGCCTGTTCTGATTATGGATGGCGCATCTGTTTGCTTTTCAGGTTGAAGGGACTCCCGAAAGGCCGAGGCTGGCTGTCTTCCGCTCCCACAAGCATATCTATGTCCAAGTGATTGATGATAGCAAGATGCACACACTTGCTTCGGCTTCAACGATGCAGAAACCCATCTCCGAAGAATTTGACTACACTTCTGGTCCTACCATTGTGAGTTAACACATATCTGTTGAACATAAAGTTCGATATTGTTCCTAGGCCATGCGGTTCTTTAGTCTGAAAACTTTGTTGCAGATGTACATCTCTGTGATGGAATTCATCAATAGATAGCCATATTTTCTGAAAACTTTCCGTTAGCTTTATTTTCTGAACCGTACTTCTCAGTTAAACTGTTAACATATCATCAAATCACCAGCTCCTTATACCTGTTGTCTTTTATTTTTGACATTAAGATACATTAATTCCAATTCATTGATTTATCATAAATGATGTAGTAATAAACTTAACAGCTGGAAAAAAAAAAAGTCTTATAGTTCAGCTTAGGTTTTGATCGTTCGTTTATGATTTGGTATTATGTCGATTCTATTTGATAAAACTCGTTGCCTAGCTTTGATGTTTGTTAAACAAAATTCCTGATCTATTCAAGCTATGTGGTATCAGGAAGTAGCAAAGAAGGTAGGAGAAGTCATTGCAAAGTCATGTTTGGAGAAAGGGATCTCAAAGGTGGCCTTTGACCGTGGTGGATACCCATATCACGGACGTGTGCAAGCCCTTGCTGATGCAGCCAGGGAACACGGCCTTCAGTTCTAAGATCATGAAATACTTCAATCCTATTTTGGACCGTCGTACCCCTTTTGTAGTTTTTGTAACAGATTTGGATGGAAGGATGTATCAACGTGTAAGCAGAGTTGCTGTAACCTAGTTAATTGAACATTTGACATTGAGACGCTGTCAATTTTCTTTCCAATTCAGTTTGTATCCCTGAAAATTATACGCATCGGAGATGAAATTCTTATATGTGGTGATTAGTTTGTATCTTGATAATTGACTCATTAGGGCATTGCATTCAAACTTGAGATTTGTTCGGTCATTTGAGATCGGAGTCGAAACAAATTCAGGTTGAAATTATTTTTTCAAACTAACGTTAACCACATGTGGGAGGGGAAGGAGGAATCAGCAGGCACTTCCGCAACTCCCAAGCAAAGAAAGCGTTGAATTTGTTATCATTTGCTATAAATAGTATGCTGGTTTTATTTGTATCACTTTTCTCTCCCCTTTGCTGTGCTAGCTTCTCCTGTTCACTCTCCACAGTCTGTTTCGAATCAAACCAAATTACAGTTACACACATGCAGAGATCAACCGCCGGAGATCCTCGTGTAAGCCGTCCAGCGTCTAGCATCTAGCGTCCTGAGATTATCTTCATCATGTCAAAAGAAAAGAAAATTTGAGTTGGTTCATTTCTTCATCAATTGATTTCTACTCACTGGAATGTTGGTGCGGCCGGCAGATCCATTGTGTGTGTGGTGATCTCTTAAATCTCTGACCAATTCAATCGATCTGAAGATGGCTCCGCCGCCACCGCTGGTTGCCCCCATGAAGGCAACATCTAATGGATCGTTTCAAGGCGAAAATCCCCTGGATTTTGCTATTCCCTTGCTCATCGTCCAGATTGTCTTGGTCGTTGTTTTCACCAGAATACTTGCATTCCTTCTTAAACCTCTGCGGCAACCTCGAGTTATAGCCGAAGTCATTGTAAGTTCTTTCGTTAACCTGATCAATGATTCAAATTCACGATTTAGCAACATAATGATGTTGCGTTTCAGATTGTCTGGTAAGAGAACATTCTTTGTTTTGCTTTTGTAACCCAATATATTTATCGTTCATGCATGCACGCACATATAATTGTAGGGAGGGATATTGCTTGGGCCGTCAGCATTTGGGAGAAGCCAGAAGTTTCTACACACCGTTTTCCCGGCAAAAGCCATGACTGTACTGGACACAGTGGCAAACATCGGACTCCTCTTCTTCTTGTTCCTCGTCGGCCTCGAACTCGACATCCGCGCCATTCGCCGCACCGGTAAGAAATCCCTAGGCATCGCCGTCGCAGGAATCACCCTCCCTTTCGTTCTCGGCGTCTTCACCTCCTTCGCACTCCGCGCCACCGTCTCCAAAGGAGTCAGCCAAGGCCCCTTCCTCGTCTTCATCGGCGTCGCCCTCTCCATCACCGCCTTTCCCGTCCTCGCCCGCATCCTCGCCGAGCTCAAGCTCCTCACCACTGACGTCGGCCGCATCGCCATGTCGGCCGCCGCAGTGAACGACGTCGCAGCCTGGATCCTCCTCGCCCTGGCCATCGCCCTTACTGGAACGAACACCTCCCCGCTCGTCTCCGTGTGGGTCCTACTATCCGGGGCCGGCTTCGTTGGCTTCTGCGTCATTGCCCTAAGACCCCTCCTAGCCATGATGGCGAGGCGGTCCCCCGATGGGGAGCCGGTGAAGGAGCTCTACATATGCATCACGTTGTCCCTCGTCCTGTCGGCGAGTTTCGTGACGGACGTAATTGGGATACACGCGCTGTTCGGCGCGTTCGTGGTTGGGATAATAGTCCCGAAGGAGGGGCCGTTCGCCGGGGTGCTGATAGAGAAGCTAGAGGATCTGGTGTCGGGGCTTTTCCTGCCGCTATATTTCGTGTCGAGTGGGCTGAAGACCAACGTGGCGACCATCAGCGGCGGACAGTCGTGGGCGCTGCTGCTGCTGGTTATATTCACGGCGTCTTTCGGGAAGATTGTGGGGACGGTGACGGTGTCAATGGTGTGTAAGGTGCCGTTCAGGGAGGCGTTGGCACTTGGGTTTCTGATGAACACCAAGGGACTGGTGGAGCTCATTGTCCTCAATATTGGAAAGGATAGAAAGGTTAGTAGTTATAATTATATCACTCTCAATTCTTCTCAAAAGAATTAAATTTGGTTTAATTTTACACATTCACCTCTAATATGATTCTAATACGAGTGTTGCTACACACACCAAATTTTGTATCAGTATGTTATTTAATTATGTTGATCTTATTTTGAATTTATTTATTTTTAATAATTAAGATTCTGATGTGTGTATAAACACATTTGTTCTGCTGAATAAAATTAAAAGAAAAAACCTTAATGATTCTTGGATTCCTAGTATATATAGAGAAAAATTGGTAATTAACAAGAGTTCATGCATTGAAAATTATTTAGTGTCTACTTAGTCATGGTAAGAAAATTTTATTGTAGTCAACTATGAAATTAGGTTTTCATAAATGTTCACTTATGTGGGTGGGTAAAATGTCATACGCATAGCATTACAGTTGCTTATTATTTGGTGGAAAGTCAATTTAGATCTAGTAAACTTACGACTTTTATGGGTGGGGAATCAATTTTACATTTACAGTTGTATAGTATTGTCAGTTCATATTGTGTCAGTAATTCATCAAAGTTCTAAAAGAATTAGATCCTAGTTAGGCGGCAGGCATGAACCTAGTCTAGGTGTCTAGGCAGCTTAGGAAGTGCCTAGACAAGTCTAGATACTATTTCTTAATTTTTAAATACTTAAGAATTAATCAGAACGGTGATCAATTCCTAACGTTTAAGCGGATATTTTTACAATAGTGGTGATCGGTAATGTCACACACAAACCTTGACTTCTCTCCACATATTGTTAGTTATTAGATTACACAATTTTAATTTACAATCTAATTTATGCGTCACCACTGTACGCATGGCAGGTGCTAAACGACCAAACCTTCGCCATCTTCGTCCTAATGGCGTTATTCACCACCTTCATCACCACCCCACTAGTAATGGCAGTCTACAAGCCAGCACGCCGAGGCGCCCCCTACAAGCACCGCAGCGTCTTCCGCAAGAACCCTGACACGGAGCTCCGAATGCTGGCCTGCTTCCACAGCACCCGCAACATCCCCACCGTGATCAACCTCATCGAGTCCTCCCGCGGAACCCGCAAGCGCGGCCGCCTCACCGTCTACGCCATGCATCTCATGGAGCTGTCAGAGCGCTCCTCCGCCATCTCCATGGTCCACAAGGCCCGCAACAACGGCCTCCCCTTCTGGAACAAAAAAAACGACGAAAACAACAAGGACCAAATGGTCATTGCATTCGAGGCTTACGAAAAGCTCAGCTCCGTCAAGGTCCGCCCCATGACCGCCATCTCCTCCCTCGACAACATCCATGAGGACATCTGCGCCAGCGCCCACCAAAAGAATGCCGCCGTGATTTTACTCCCGTTTCACAAACACCAGAGGCTCGACGGCAACATGGAGTCTCTAGGAAACGCGTTTAGATCGGTCAACGAGCGTGTGCTTAAACACGCTCCCTGCTCCGTTGGGATTTTGGTGGACAGGGGTCTTGGCGGAACAGCCCAGGTTTCGGCCAGCGAGGTGTCGTATAATATTATGGTGGCGTTTTTCGGAGGGCGGGACGACAGGGAGGCGTTGGCGTACGGAATGAGGCTGGCAGAGCATCCCGGGATTGTGATGACATTGATTCGGTTTGTGGCCCCACAAGGAAAGACGTTGAGTTTTGGCGCGAAATTGGTCGGGATAACTTCTGACAAGAACAAGGAGATTTTGAAAGAGGAAGACTGCGGCGGCGACCAGAAGGGGGACGACGAGTCGCTTTTAGCGGAGTACATGAATGTGATGAAGAATAGTGGGAATAAGGAGGGCGGCGGGGAGCCGTCGATGTTGTACGAGGAGAAGGTGGTGGACAGCAAGGCCGAGATTTGTGTCGTGTTGAAATCGATGGCTAAAAATGTCAATTTGTTTATTGTGGGGAGAATGCCTCCGACGGCGCCGTTGGCGGACAGTTCGAGTGACTGCGCGGAGTTGGGGCCGGTGGGAAGCTTCTTGGCGTCGTCAGACTTTTCGTCCACAGCGTCGGTTGTGGTGTTTCAACAGTATAATCCCACGTCGTCGCAGCCGCTTGTGGTGGAGGAAGCTGACTATGAGGTGCCGGATACACCAATGGCTTGATTGTTTGCTTCTAATTGTGCGAGAGATGAATAATTAATTGAGTATTCCATCTATAAAGCAGAAATAAGAACCTTATTAACCTTTCCAATCCTTGATTATATATTCAATTAGGAAACGATCTATATTCTATGTCAAAATTTGATTACTTGTATTTCTGTTTAGACCCGATTTTATATTTTCGGTTTAAACAATCGAGACCGTCGAATGATTATAAAGAATTCTAGACGTTGGAATGTAATCGACTTTATACCCAATTAGGCATTAGTGGCCTGTTTCTAATATTTTATTCTAGATATTACTATTGGATTATTGTAGTAATTATCTTGTGAAAATATTAAAATGAGCTTGAAGAGTGCTTGAAGAGTGCAGATTGAAATCAAGGAACTTTCTTCCTCCACGGGTCTGTTCGGGATTCTCGTATTGGAGTTTTGAAGTGTATTGGGACATTATCTTCCAATAATTCAGGCACTGAGTAGTTCAAACAATATGGAAGAATCATAGCCACCGAGTATCTTGGCCAATGTCAAGTATTTTAATTAAATGGGATTAATGAAATTGCATGCATTATCACATCCGGTAAAAGGTGGGATTGCATACAAGATGCGGAGATGAAGTGGGGACTGCATCAGGTTTTTCTACAAAGGAACACGTGGATTTTGAACGATGGTGATAACGCAATTAGGATTGAATCTTTGAAAAAGATTGTACAGAATGTCATGAGGGAAAAGATGGGATCATGCTTTGATTGATGTGATAAGGCGTGGACTTATGTGCATCTGAGATAAAGTTTTCAGAACTTCATTTATTATTGTAATTATGCACGGGATAAATGCGTGGTCAGCAGCAACAAATAAAGACTAGTCACTGTGCAATTGAGACTGGTTTTCATGACTTGGGCATGCAGGTCTGTATAAATACCAAGCGGCATACGATTGAGAGGGTCCTTCCCAAATCAACACATACATTACCCTGCACAAAATTTCTCAACAAATCTGACTGAAGATTGACTGGTTATTTATTCACGTTTCGGTTAACAAGGATTTCTGAGTGCTTGTTGGTAGAGGTCATCTCATCAGCTCAGCGAAGTGAGATGTTACCAGGTTACTATATTCAGCACATTGACAGCCGAATTTGAAATTGAACTTTGCAGAACTAGCAACCTTATCTTCAAGCTCTAGAACCCGAAAACCGAGACGTGTTCCTTCCTCGGCCGCAATCGCAAGATCAAGAAGTCAGCATCGTGCCCAACACCACATCAACATATTTTACTCCCCGGTTGAACTCGGCCAACGAGTTGGCACGTCCCGCACATAACCAAATGACGTAGTTAGCTTATTAATTACTCGGCCTACGTACCACTTAGGCTTGGTAGTTTTTAGGGTCAACAATTTCTTATCAAGTTCTTATTCTTTTTAGTCACTGAGTGCAAATCATTTACTAAATTGATTCATTATTTAAAAAAAGTTGATTTTTTCTATATGAACTATTAAACAATCTGTAATTTGAAATGATCAAGTTCAATTTATATCAAAATTTTGCTGCAATCTCCGATGACTTTGAACCTGGCATGCAACATGTTGAACCTGTCCTACA